AAAAAAAAAAATAACCAGTTAGCTTTGTCCACACATGTAAGTTATCCAAAGTTACCCAAGGTAATTTTGACGTTGAATGCAGCTTTAAACAATAAAAAATTGTATTAAGTTTACTCCTCAAAGCAAATTATACAATTAGCCCCCAAGTTTGTAAATGAAACATTTCTGACACAAATGCAGAAAAGTTGGCAACATTAAATAAAGGTCAAATTAATTTTGAGATATGTAGTGTTCGATGTTGAGCAAACTTTTGATCTTGACTCTTGCAGTAATTAGAGAATAGTTCTCCATTTTGGCGACCAGAAAAGGAAACTGCCCACAAAACTATCTCAAACCAATTAGATTAGCAAAGCATTTAAATTCCTATATGAAACTCCCTGGAGCACACAGGAAGTGGCAGATGGAAAGACTGTATGGCTCTGGCTTTCTGGCCCCACCCCATCTACAGGAGACAACAATCCAGTCATTATGTGCAGTATTGAACTCATTTTCAGATAGGCTCACGTCTGGAGGACATTCAGGATTAGTTAGAAACCAGGTGATGGTATCTCATTGGTAAAAGGTTTGATCTCATGGCTTTACCTGATATTCATAAAAGTCTCACTGTCCCCACCCCAGATAGTGTGTTAATGTGTGTGTGTATATTCTATGGCTACGCGCTTCCAAAATGCACAGTTTAATATGAAAAAAAGTATGTTGCTATGCCTCTTTACCACCAATGAAATGGTTCACAAAATTCCACTCCCCACCCTCAATACAAGTTCCTGTGTTGACATTCTCTGGGAGTGTGGAGGGCTGCAATCATGTACAAAATGTAGAAGTGAAAAAATATTCCATTGTGCACCAGCTGCTTGAGGAAAAGCTTTGGAGTCGAGGAGGCAAAGGGAAGCCTTCCAGTTGTACAGCTTTGCTCTTAATGTGCTCACCTGCTGCCACAACAACTGGTACACTTAAAAAAGCCACGGTGTGAGTCACCTGTACTTCTGGATCCACCATAATGATTCTCCCACAGTCTCCTCTGCTGAGTCAAAGCTTTGCGGCAGGCAGTCCACATACCTGTTACTGGATGCGGGGAATGACACCTCACAGTGGAATGGGCACTGGCAGGCAGAGGGTAGAAGCAGTCCTTTAAGAAACAGCTGTGGCACAAATAGAAGCCAGTGCTACAGCACAGATAGCAGCCAAGAACCCCACACCTCAAGCAAGATCTCACAATACTGGGAATGTCCGGTCTTCACCCGTCATGGCTGATCAGCAGCCTCCACAAGTTGGTCTTTCAGGAGGCAGGAAGTGGAGCGAGGGTCCATGGCTGAGTGCATTATAGGGATATAAACATCGTCCATGTTTGGCATGACAAAAACTTTCTGTAGGAAGATAGTGAAGAAAAACCATGTGGAAGAATGCTTTGTCAGTGTGACACACTACTTTGTTCTGATGGTAATCTTAGGCTTTAGACAAAATTTTAAAAATACATATGAAAACTACCTGCACATTCCAAACTAATTCCTCCACCATACTTTAATTTAGAAAGAAATGAGGAATCACAAATGCATGAATATAAGAACCCAATAAATCAGCTCGGGGGCAGACCCCTTTGATTTCATGTAAATAAAAATCACTCCTATATATTCCATTGTGCACCAGCTGCTTGAGGAAAAGCTTTGGAGTCGAGGAGGCAAAGGGAAGCCTTCCAGTTGTACAGCTTTGCTCTTAATGTGCTCACCTGCTGCCACAACAACTGGTACACTTAAAAAAGCCACGGTGTGAGTCACCTGTACTTCTGGATCCACCATAATGATTCTCCCACAGTCTCCTCTGCTGAGTCAAAGCTTTGCGGCAGGCAGTCCACATACCTGTTACTGGATGCGGGGAATGACACCTCACAGTGGAATGGGCACTGGCAGGCAGAGGGTAGAAGCAGTCCTTTAAGAAACAGCTGTGGCACAAATAGAAGCCAGTGCTACAGCACAGATGGCAGCCAAGAACCCCACACCTCAAGCAAGATCTCACAATACTGGGAATGTCCGGTCTTCACCCGTCATGGCTGATCAGCAGCCTCCACAAGTTGGTCTTTCAGGAGGCAGGAAGTGGAGCGAGGGTCCATGGCTGAGTGCATTATAGGGATATAAACATCGTCCATGTTTGGCATGACAAAAACTTTCTGTAGGAAGATAGTGAAGAAAAACCATGTGGAAGAATGCTTTGTCAGTGTGACACACTACTTTGTTCTGATGGTAATCTTAGGCTTTAGACAAAATTTTAAAAATACATATGAAAACTACCTGCACATTCCAAACTAATTCCTCCACCATACTTTAATTTAGAAAGAAATGAGGAATCACAAATGCATGAATATAAGAACCCAATAAATCAGCTCGGGGGCAGACCCCTTTGATTTCATGTAAATAAAAATCACTCCTATATTTGATCAACATATCTCAACGTTGAACCCCCAAAATATGTATAATCAATTATGATTCAATAAAATTTTTTTAAAAAAATCACTCTTATGAATTGATAAATATTCAACAACATTAATTTAGGAGAATTGGCTTAAGCTGCTTACTATATTTTCAAATTACTATATCCAGAACACATTCCAAGTGAATTTATCCTTTTAAATCCTAGCAATGAAATGTAAGCTAATTTTCTTTTCAAACCAGAATCACACAAAGCTATATATGAAAGAAATCCTACTATAGCAAACACTCAAAGGATAATCACTGATTGATAGTAATGCTGCTTTGCCTATCTGTTTATAAAATTAACTTTATATGTGAATTTTGGCAGTGCATTCAGTCCTCAGTAATGCTCTCTGAAATCAAGGAGTCTGCTGTGGAAGTCTGCAGCAGTTACCCTTCAACTTCCTAACTTGTCTCAAAAATGCCAGGCACCAATCTCTGCCCCCTTTTCCCTTCTTTTGCTCCTTGAAGCCCATGACTCCTAAAAGGGATGACCCACTCAAATTCCTAATGTGGGATCTAGGGATATAAGGAAAAGGAAAAAATTGAAGGCATAAGGTTCTTTCCCCTAACTAAGTTCAAAGTACTTTTCCATTTGGTGATAATATGCTTTTTCAGAAACTGATTATCATTTATATTTAATCTCTAGCTTTTAAATCATATGATTTTTTAAAAGGCAGTAACTCAAAATATACCACTGCAAAAAGAATTTAGGTCATCTTCAAAATGAAATTCACTACAAAGTAAACAGTTTGTTAATCCATAAAACCTTGAAAGACAACTGTGCCTCAAATATCTGGTTATTTAATTAAAATGACTCATCCCAGGGCTTCAGTTACATTTGCTGTTGCCTTTGGTGGGAGAATGCAGAAAACAGGTTTGGAGAATGAGCTCTGGCTTAGTCAACTCCAAGACTGCACTAGAAGCTATATGCAGGGGAGGGACAGGCCTGATTCAGCTTTGGACTCCCAGGGTAGGTGGTAGCTGGCACATGGAAGGGTTTCCATGAATGTTGGTTGAACTGAACAAACTGGGCGAGGTGAGTACCACACACGAGCACGGAGCAACTTTTCTGACCACATGCCGGGTGCTACTAGCCGGCCAATTCCAGGCCTCACATGGGGAAAAATGAAGTTCAGAGAGTCCAGTGGGCATACTGGTACAAGACCCACATCTTTTGGGTTTCCTCTGAAGGCTACTTAGTTATGTTTTATGGGTGTCAGGGCTTTTGAAACTGTACCTAGCATTTTATGCCTGTGTTGACCATATGTGTACTCCCCTGGAATGAAGGTCCATAGCTTTCACTGGATTCTCAAGAGGATCCTGATCCAGGTGAAGTTCAGAACCTGTTCTACCCAGAGCATGTACACTTGGTGTGAAATACTAGATAACACTACTGGTTTACCTGAAACTCTTGCTCCAGTTTCTTCTCTATCCAGTCTGTCACATGAACTAAAGTCACTTCTCTCTCTCCAAGTTTTGGCCGAGCTTTCAGCTCCACATATGGTGGCTTCCGGAAACCGTACCTTTTTAAAGAAGACAAGTAATAGCCATATTTAGAAGCAAAGAAAGGAAGTAGACAAGCACTGACAGCAAATATTCCTCATTTGCATGGGGCTTTATCACTATTTAAAATGTTCTCTTATTCTGAAAATCCCCTCCAAAAATAACTAAATACAGCAGGTAAGAATTGTGAACTCCCTGTGTTCCCTAGCCAGTGTTAGGGCTGTGACAGATTTGAGAACAGTTCTGCCAAACTTGGAAAGCCTGGAAGAACCAGTGGAGAAGTCCACGACTGGAGCACTGATTTTTGATTTTGGCTTTTCCTAGAATAGCAATGACCTTTTTTCTATTTTTATAAAATACACGTACACTCCAAAGTCTAAAAACATAAGCGTACAATAGAGAAAGTGAAAGACCATCTCTCTCCAAATGTTGCTCCCAAGAGAGAACCACTGAGAGAAGTGGGGTGGATTTTCCTCACACTCCAATATGCACGTATGGATAGATAACTTTCTATAAGCTGTCTTCCACCCCACTCTGCAGCAAGCTTTTTATGTCTTCCCAATGGAGCAGACAGGCATGCAGAACTGTTGGTAAAGTATCTACATAAGACACTATGTGCTATCAAACTATCTAAAAACTTTGATCTGCCATGGACCAATGTTTTTAGAAATATAATAAAAATGTTCAATTGCTATAAATGTTTCTAAACACTCTCAATATCTATACTTATCTTTGTGAACCAATAACACATAATTCAGCACTTGACCATGCGTCAGGGTAGCATTATCCTAGAGGCCTTTATTTTTAAATTGCTATAAATGTTTCTAAACACTCTCAATATCTATACTTATCTTTGTGAACCAATAACATATAATTCAGCACTTGACCATGCGTCAGGGTAGCATTATCCTAGAGGCCTTTATTTTTATCTCCTACTGAGCAGTGGCATTTGTAAATGGTAAATCTAAAAGCTTGGCAGTAAGGGGAAGAAATGTATCAACTCTTACTATTTAAAAAACATGTTTTTTAAGATTTGGAAGAACTTACTCTATACAGTAAGGTATACAGTGGTTATTTATAAAAGATTATGGGCTTTTTTCATATTTTTTCCCAATCTCTCTCTCTTTTTTAACAATCAAAATATTACTTGAAAAAATTAAAACCTAAAAAAGGTGTTTTAAGTTTTACTGGGAAACACCAGCATCATCATCAAACGGTTAGTCAATTCAAAATCCTCTTCTGATCATTCCTATAAACCTTTCTGAATACCAAGGATGTGTACTAGCATGTTGGTTTCATTACATAATAGAACACAGAGTTATATGTTTATTGAGTATAGTTTATGGTACAACGTCTCTTACGCAACCACTCATGCCCATTTTACAGGACTTGGAATGTCAATTTTTAATTGAGATTGATAGATAGTGATGCTGGACCAATGAATAATTTATTTCAGTGATTCTCAAAGCTGGCTTAATCACTGCCCTCCCCGACTCCCACCACCCTAGGGGATGAGCCAGGCATATCTGTATTTTTAGCAAGTCCCCAGGTGATTCTAACATGCAGCTGGGGCTGAATACCAATTCTTGGGATAGACCTCCTACCACAAATACCAAGTGCACACGCTCCTGCCTCCTCCACATCCAGCTATAACCCAGGAACGTCTCCCTAACCACGTAGACTCTGCTGGATTTTCCTCATTTGGAAAGTGGGCTTTGAAAATGGCACCCACCTCAACTGAATGCCATGAGGACTAAGTGGGTGACACAGTCACAACCCAGGCTGGCAGAGAATGAGGACTCTCTCTACAAATGACAGCTGGTGTTACTGGTGGCTTTCTAGAGGAAGACCAGGAACAGAAACAGCCCATCCCATAAACTTCATGCCTTGACCTTCACTCTTCCTAAAGTGTGAAGATGAATCCTTAAATGT